AAACGTTTCATTAGAGAAGAACTCGTCCAGAGGACCTATACAATTTTTTTTCTTTTTGATTTTTTACCTGGATTACTGAGATGCATCAGGACATTCCTTGATTTTCATTCTTCAACAAAGCCAGTGAAATCGATTATTCGACGAATTCTCCATTTAATCGCGTTTCTATCCCTTCAAAAGCAACTTTAAGTATAACAGGACCTCTTTAACAGCAATAACAAAAACATTACATCACTCTGTTCAAGTACAAAGAATAATGAACATTTTATTAAAGGTACGGTAAAARCATTAGTCTACTTGTCTTAGTTAAAACAGCCTTTATGTGATWTAAATGTTTTGTTTTTCTCCCCCCCATGACTTTGCCTTTATTACAAACCTTACTGGGGGGGGGGGATTGTTAGCTCTCCTGGTAGCAGGTAGCGCGTGGCAAATGTACGGTAATTCACGGTGAGAGGCCAGGGAGATGTCTGGTTGTCATACATCACACAAGGCACAAAAACACCTACAACAAAGAAAGAGACGAGCCGACTCACCATAGTAGGAAGGCGGGATGTCCGTCACTCTAGCCATCATGGCACCTGATAGGACCAACGCACCGCCGTCGTCCTGGTCTCGGAGTCCGCATATGAGAGTCGAGGTGAACTTCAGGTCGGTTCCTGAACACCTCGCACAGCTCGTATCGAAACAAACACGGCAGTCTGGAACGGGCTCTCCAGCTCCTCTGGCCGCTCTGCGAGGATGCTCGAGCCACGCAGCTGAGCGTCAGTCGTGTTTACAGCGCGACGTCATTAATTATTCCTGMACGTCCTTAAAGGGACCGCCTCACTTTTTTCTGCTCCTTTGTTAGGACTGTACTGTTTGGAAAGCGTTAACGGGRGAAAACACGCGGATTCATTCACTGTCGTCGTCTGATAAATGTCTGCTTATTCCCCTTGTTAATATATCTGCACAGTGCGCTGGTTTATCCAGCCACTACTTTAATGTTTATATTTCATTCATCCGTCCAATGGAGAAACACTGGCCTCAGCCGGGGTTTCTTTYATATTGCATCTCTCTTTTGTTTCTTTGTCTTGGCTCTGTGCTGAAATTGTTAAAGGGATCTCTACTTACACATGRTGGCCGTAAAATGTTGCCAGATGGATCTGTGTCAACAATTATTTATAATTTCTTTACAATAAATTAATGTAATTTAATTTATCAATCAGTCATGTAAAACAGGTGTTAACAGTGATGCCAAACTCATTTTCGCCAAGGGACACATGAGCATTATGGTGGCCCCTCAAAGGGCCAACTTCGACTAAACGCTAAAACATCACCTTCTTCATCTAATTGCTACAGCTGTGCACCGCTAAAAAACAATAACTGAGCTCTATGTGGTATTTCCTGCATAGAAACAATGTTTTAACACGTTCTCTTTCAAACGCTGAAAAGTACTAGGTGTACAATTGACTAAATGTAAAATAAATAATACAGAAATACTATTAAAAGAAAAAGTAATAGTTTTACTCTTGGTTGGGTTTCGGGGAGTAGCTGCAATCTTGAATTCTTTCAACAGTAAATTCCTACTGGAGGGTCATTGCTTTACGACTTGTAAGTGGGAAATTCCAACTTCTAAATACAACTGGGCTGAAGTTGTGAAAATTCAGTGAAATGGCGATTTTACAGCGCAAATTTCGCCCTATGCACCCAGAGTTGTAAAGTAACTAAGTATAAATACTTTGTTTCTGTACTTAAGTAGAAATTGTGGTTATCTGTACTTTACTTGAGTAATTGTTTTTCAGCGTACGCTTTACTTTTACTCATCACATTTTTACACAATTATCTGTACTTTCTACTCACTACAATTTTTTTAAAAAGTTAAGAAGTAGGAAGTCGTTATTCCTATTTTATTCTGAGTTGTTTTTACTTAAAAAAAAAACTATCCTGATAAATTG